AACATTTCCTGCTCCATAGAAGAAAAAAGAGACACTTGGTTTAACATTCAGACGCCATATTAGTACTCGGCGAGTTACTGACTGTATCATTAATGGATAACCTACAGTGATGGATGATTACTTTGATTAACAGTTACTATCAAAAGATTACGTTACTTTAGTATGCTCGTTTACATACAATCTGTCACTGATTAGAGACGAAAATCCCTAAATTTGTAAAATTGGTAGCTACGTGCAATCCTGGACGTAAGTTAGATTTTGAGACACAAATCCTCGTCACTGTAGCCTGTGAACAGGCTCCAGGTGAGCCCGAACGAAGCGAGGGTGGCTCCCCCGTCCCGTCCCGTCCCGATCGCTTTGCTCTCCGAATTCTTCCGTTACGCGCTCGTCCGCTCGCTTCGCTCGCCGAATTTTGTTTCCGTCCTCGCCGGGAGCCTATTCGCAGGCTATAACTGACTCTCCAAATAACATCTGTAGGGTGCAAACACACGGTCGAGGCAGAAAAAGCTAGTGCCACTTGCGGCCGTTTTCTAGTATATAGGGGTCTTCTTTCACGGTCACGCTTGAGGTGGAAGAAGACCCCCGTGATATACTAGAAAACGGCCGGAAGTGGCACTAGCTTTTTCTGCCTCGATACTGTCAAGAAGGAATATTGCCTGCTTAGCTCATCGAATGAATTCGAAAAGTGAAGAAACATTTCATGTACCTTAGGAAGGTACAAGTTCTATGATCAAATTTTCGACGCGGAGTTGTTATCGTAAAAAAAAAGCCGACTTCACACCAGAGACGGGAAAGTCAACTTGTTTTCGTCTGTGACGAGGCTCCGTCCTCGTGTGATAACGGGACGGAACGGGACGGGAAACTCGTCCAAATATCCGTCTGAGTCGACAAGATTTGGCTGCTTCTAGATGAGATTCTCGTCGAATTATGTCACGAATTCACACTTAAACGGTTTTCTTATCGAGTTTTGGGAGGAACTTTCACCGAAAGGACTGGAACTAAAACAAAAGGAAATAAACATGTGGGTTATAGGATAACATAATGTGAAGGCCATGTGAAGGCCAAGGTTAGGTAGACGTGACACAGGTCCAGACGAGTATATCGTCCTTAAGCGTGTTACGGCTAAATTTAAAGGTTCAAAGTCAGGAATCAAAATAATAATTGATATAAATTGACAGCATTTAATTGATTGATATCAAATATTGATGGACACTCAATATGTTTTGTGATATGTAATTCAAATATATAAATATAAATATCTAATATAATCATTAATTAATAAATTTTATATTTACGAAATGGCCCAAAAAGATGACTCTATCTATATTGAAATTAAAGTTCGAGTCTGAGAGCTGAGTTAGCCAGTTACTTTCCTGTTAGACCCCTGTACAAGTCCTATATTGGAAGCAGCTGATTAAAAGGAAAACAGATAAGCTCTGAAAAAGATAGAAAACCAAAAACCAAACAATATTTCGTTCACGTTGTTTAGCATTACGTCATTGCTGAAATATTAGTGGATCTCCAAGTTACCTCTCTCATATGATCTGACCTCGTGGGAAAATTGATCTTTGTAAACAAGCCAGCACGAGTCTACCATTTGACTAAAATTTTTATTTCGTGCTCGGTTCATTGTCTGAGATCCGAGCAGAGTTGGTTAAGGAGGGATTCGCAAACAAAGGTAAGGCAAAAAAAACAATCTATTTTGCGTTCCACAGATGAACCGTTCGTAATTAACCAGAGAAGAAACGCTTGACGGTCTGATCTTTGTTAGAGAATCAGTAGTCGGCGTTGTTTAGCTTTAGATTACATAATTCGTTAGGAATAGCATTCGATTCCATGACGTCGATCCCTTTAAATTTCAAAACAATGGATTCGGTTGTTGTGATTATTTTAAATGGCACAAGCTTCGTCCGTGACCCTTGCGGACGACAAAATATAAAACGAGCAGCAAAAGAACCTTATACACATTAAAAAACTGGTAATTTTGAAGACGTGATTAGTTTAGCTTAGTTTAGACCCCGTAAATACAATCGACATCATTGTTGCTGACACGAAACCAAAGGTTATCATGTTGTGGGTTATCGAGCAGTTCTTTTTTAGCAAGTTTGCTGAGGGTTGCTCACCATTTTTTGGAATAAACTGATTGTGATGGTAAGGGTTTTTCTTAAAATTAGCAAAACAACCGAACGAGAAGGCACTCCGTTTCGCTTTGATGAGAGACTGGAAACTGGGAAATTTATTCAATGGTGCGAAAATTTTCCGCTGTTCCGTTCAAAACGTAAAAAGAGGAGTACCTCTGGCAGCTGGCAACCGACAATCTTCGAAGAGATCTTCACGAAATTTCTTTTTAATTTAACTTTCAACAGAGATTTCAGGGTTTTTTATTTTTTGGCTAAATGGTAAGCACCCGACACGCTTATTAGGGGAAGATTCTCGACTTCATATTTACATCTTAAAGCTTTCCCTGAACACAAAAATAAACGACGAAGTAGAATTGTTTTTAACGAAGTTCGTGTTATTAACCTAGTCGTAACCATTGAACTTAATTAAGAGGGAATACTTTAGGAAAAAGGCCAATATAGGGGATTAACTCTCTTAGCTTCGTGTTTAAGAGCACTTTTCTCACAAGCCTCTGAAAATAAAAACATCCCCACTTGCGTGACACTTTCAAACAGTAAGCTGTTGTTTTCTACAGTGAAAGTACAAAGATTTCTGCCCCTGACATTCCACCGAAAAAGATTTGATATCTTTCACGTGAAAAGATATTGACGGAGTCACGCCGGCGAGTTATCAGTAGTTGCTTTAAGATGTTGAGTAAGCATATATTCCGTTATCACCGGATAGAAATACCTGACCAGGAGCTGGATTTGCTCATTTCGACGGCAAGATGTGGGAGAAAGAAAAAGAAAATCACTCGTTACGGACGTTACGCGGAGAACGAAAAGCTGTTTTTTGTTCGCCGTGTTTACATTCAAGATCGAGATATTAATAGTTTTGAAATTCGAACAATATCAGGAGACGAAGCAGAATGGACTGTTTTTTGAGCTTAAATCCGCACCACCATTCCTGAGATTTAGATCTTAAAATAGTCGGGTATATAAAGTTATCGGGACTTTCGAGAAAGAGGCCCCAGGTGTGATTGGGATAAACATTTTGAGTGTGGCGGGATGGCGGGAAAGAGCCAAAAATGGTGGCGGGATGCGGGATTGAAAAAGTCTCTGTCGGAATATTGAGTTGAACCCGGTAAGGGTTTATACCGTGTCAGAATATTCAACCTACAATCTGGGACAAAATAAATGGAACATCTTGACCACCCCTCCCCCCATTTCAATGATGCCAAAATGGCGCGTTTTTGCTCCTTCGCGCCTTCATCATTGCCTTGGGGGGGGGGGGAGGGGGGGTTAATTGTTGCATTTTATTGTGTCCAAGATTGTAGTCCCCAGTAGACGAAGTTAACGCCGAGTAACACGAGTAACAACGAAGAATCCTAGCTCAGAGTGGATTCTTCGGTTCCTTTGACGCACCATGATCCAAGTGGTCTTGGATTAATCTCCTTAGTCAAGGACGAAAATCTGTTTTTGGTTTTAAGAATCCAATCTTGGATTTTCACAAAGAAACGCACCCTTCGTCATGACTCAAGAAATTTTAAACCCAAACTTACTTAAATTGTCCTTACCTTTCCTTCCTTTCACTTCACTTGGATTTTCTCAAAGAAACGCATCCTAAAATTAATTATTGAAGCTTGAAGGATTAAGTGTGTATCTGTACGAAAACTAAATTGGGTTTTAAATGCCTTATCCTGCAGGAGAGAAAACTATAAAGGATCTCTCCAACACATCAATACCATACACTTAATGGCCTATCATCTGTGCATAGAAGCTTCATCTGTGAGCACTCCACTGGCTGACGATAGCGAAACCCACATCTTGCATGTGGAGTTCTATGGCACTGGTCGAGATGACTACCGAGTTAGTTACGAAAAACTGGAACGTACCTTACTAACAGAGTATCTCAAACTACGTGACGGGTCTGATTTTTACCGGAAGCTCATGAAGTTGACATTCGCTATCTCGCCAACAGACGAAACGAATGTCTTCTGCAGAAACGTTCTGGAGAGAGGAATATTTTGTCGTCAACAAGTCTATCGATTCCTTGGTCACTCGGATGAACAACTAAAGAAAAAGTCGTGTTTTATGATGAGTGCTTTGCATGAAAAAATTCACGAGCTTTTGGCGCAGTTTGGCGACTTTACAGGAGAGCGAAACATAGGAAAGCGGGCAAGAAAAATTGGCATGCTCTTCTCGAAGCTGAATGAGCCCCTAGACTTGGCTGCAGATGAGTACGAAGTTGAGCCAGAGACGAGACGTGGAGTCTTCAGATCACAGTCTTTGGCCGATGGATGTGGTTTTATGCCCCGGGAATTCTCTTCCGCAGTACAAGAGCTCTTTCAACTCCATCATCAGCCCAGCGCCGTCTATGTCCGCTATCGTGGCATCGAGGGTATGCTGGTACTCAAAGAAGATTTGCCCGAAGTTAAACTGCTGTTCCACAACTCAATGCAGAAATTTGTCACCCCAGATGAGAACATGCCTAAAGATTTCAGCTTCGCTGATGTCGTAGATTATTCCCGCCCTTACGTCAACGGATACCTCGACAATCGAATGGTCATGCTTCTGGCCGAGGCAGGAGTTTCCTTTGTGCATCTCGAAGAATTGCAGGCAGGTTACTACGAATTACTGGAAAACATGATCAGGAATACGGCGGCTGCTGAGTACTTTCTGCGTTTAAGAGGGGAAGTCCAGTTCCTGGAACACATTCATGAGAACGGAGTTGACAGTCGCGTTAAAGACTACTTTAAGTTCTTACTGATACAAGAGTTGGACAAGATTAAGGCAGCTGCTTTCACGCGAATCCTGGTCCCCAAGTCCCGAGTCGTGTTCGTCGTACGTGATCCTTACGGCAAGTTGAAGCAAGACGAGTGCTACTTCAAGCCAACGATACCCGACGACGATAACAGCTTTACCACTGCGGGAAAAATTGTCGTCGTGCACATGCCATGCCATCATCCTGGAGATGTGCAAGTCTTAAAACTCAATCAGGAGATGCCTGGGTACGAAAACCTGAGGGACTGTTTGGTACTGTCCGCAAATGACCCATGCCATGGAATGTTCGAAGGCGTTCAAGCAGATCTGAGAGGGAATCGCTTCTTCGTTAGCTGGGACAAAGATCTCATTCCAAAATCAACAGAAGCACCGTGCGATTACCTACCGACAATTACAGCTAAACTTCGGGAGGCTTCTGCCAGGTCCGTGTCGAATTTATCCGCGAAAATGAAGAAAGGTCAACGAAGTAGTTATTTGAAAGATAGAGAAGAAATGCTCCGGTACTTTGCCGCATTCTCAGATGAGACACCGAAGATTGAAGAAGAATACATGAAATATGCGATTGCCTTGGGTCCATCATCGAAAGAGTGTCGACAACTGAGCAAGTTGCTCTACCAAGCAGCAAGCTTCACCGAAGATCCAGCTACCTTGCAGAAAAAGCTGGAGCAAATCAAACAGTCAAGTTCCACGGTGGACGAAGAACAAGGTGACATGGATGAATATGGGAATCTCCGACGTGCACCGGAAACGACCACCAGCGAGGTGCAGTGTTCGCCCGTTCGCCTTACCATGCGCCGTTCAAGCCGATCCCGCCTCCCTGGCCATGAGATATGGAAGGACATTAACATGAAAGCCGAAGCATTTCTGGACCGAATGCTGCGTGAAATTCACAAATGCGTCGCTTAGGCCTAGGCCCCATGCAGAGGTGGAGGGTGGGATGTGACGTTTTAGTTCTTTTTCTCACTCATTATTCACCCCCGCGGCCAGTTCGCCTCGGGGAAGAATTTGCGCAGGGTTCAAACTTTTAGTCCACGTATTAGTCTCGTTTTGAAGACATTTTTATTGCCAGTAAGATGTATTTTTTTGTTTCCTGGTCCTAGTTAGACTTAATTACAGTTAATGAAATCCGTATGCATAACTAGAACGCACCAGTAAACGAGTTAGATCGAAGTCCTGATCTTCAAGGGTACGTGCTGCCAGCAGCTGTAATTTCAACGCGATGAACGCTACTTGAACGCGATGAGCGCGATTTGACCGCGTTTTGAACGCGTTGAACGCAACATCATTAGAATTCCTATGAACGTGATAAAATGAAATTTTTGTATCAGAGTATAGACCTTAACAACGAGAAGATCGTATAAACTGCATAGCCACGACGCAGAGTTCCATTGTATACCTTATGTAAATATTAAGAGAAAACGTTAGGCAGATGGTATATAGTACATAAGTGATTATGAAATGTGTTTTATCGATTTTATTATCGTTACTGCGATTGAGAAGTTCCACGGGGAGAACAAATTAAGTATGTATGTATATTTAACTCCAGCGTCATGTGATCAACTCAATTAAAAATCAGCCTTACTTCTAAAATGTTTTATGTCATACTTTGCAAAGGTTATAAGATTTCTGAAATAAGAAAAAAAGGCATAAAGATATATGCACGAGTCTGCTAAAGTGGACAAGGCGAAGGATTCCTTTCCATTTCTACAGAACTTTGCCAAACATTTAGTCTGTGCCAGTAATGATTATTCAATGATAAAAATTTATGGGGTCCACTAAATTCGTTTGCATGTTATACGCTCGGTGTTTTCCACAGGACCAACTGTTGATATAGTTATCAGTCATGCTTTCGTATTATTGACTGACGTAATGGACAGATTTAATAAATATGTCCAGTTTCATTAGAATTCATTGCAAACTCTTAAAGAGATGGGCCCCCGAACGGCCCATTTTCACAAAGAAACGTAAGCCAGGGAGCAACGCTTGCTCCCTGGCGTACATTTCTTTGTAAGGTTGGGGTCCCACATTGTTATGAATTTGCAATGGATTCTTCTGAGACTTCATAGATTTACTAACTTCGGCATAATAAACTGAACTATGGAGGTGGTTTTTGTTTATTTGAAAATTACGAAAAATCGTTGATATTGCGTGACATCGGTAAACAGGTCCATTGAGAATCAAACCACGCGCAGGATGCATGACAGAAGGCTGATTCACACAACACAACATTATTTGGCACGACTCCGACATAAAAGGTACGCGTATCGAAAAAACAGGTTTAGCAAGGATAAATTTTGTTGTGTAAACGTCTTTTCCCCATCCGTGCCGAGCAAAATTTCACCCGAGCTCGGACCCTCTGAATAGGTCGTCCGAGCGCGGGTGAAAGTTTGGCTCGGCACGTCGTTCACGTACACGCTCCATTTTTTATCCGAACCTTGCCAGAATTTTTTTGGCAATGAGCTTTGAACGTCACGCAAGAGATCGTCACAACTCTGACATCATAACTGACATTTTTAGATTTTTGCAGATCTCACGCGAAGGTCATTCATCTCTCTTTAAAAGAAAAAATGAGTTAATGAAAACGAAAAGTTTCTGGATCAGTTTTATTTGTCATTTTCGAAAACAAAACATGCATGGAAAGAATTAGTTTTCGCAATTCAAACCCCGTCCATACTACGGCGGAGGAATTTGAAAACGCAGCTTTATTTCTACGGTTAGGCCTACCGTCCACACTAATCCGTCACGAAAACGGAGCTTTTGGAAAACTCTTTTCTAACGGAGGAATTTGAAAACGCCGGCTTTGAGTTTTAGTTTGGACGGAAACATTTGAATACGGAGCTTTTCGAAAACGATGACGTCACCGGTAATTGCTGCGTTTTCAAATTCCTCCGGCGGAGTGTGGACGGAAAACATTTGATGCGTTTTCAGAGTGAAAACTCTTTTTACAAATTTCTCTGGTGTAGTGTGAACGGGGCCTCAGGTATCAGTAAAGATCACAATTTTCTCATTCATTCTTGACTTTATCGTGCTAGCGACCCTCTGAACATGAAACAACCGAGACGGTCTCGGGACTCTTCGAGATCTCCCCGGGACCAAGTTTTCTCATTCTCGTCCCCAGAGTCTCCGTTTCTTTTAACAACTTTTCAAAACGAGTAGCACTGGGGACGAGAATGCTGAGTTCTTAGAAATCGGCCGGAAGTTACACAAAGCTCTGGAGAATCGACGAGAAGACATTCATCAGTAGCTTGACGAGCTTGGCAATTTTATTGTCCAAGAGCTATATAGGAACTGAACAGTCTTCCCCGTTACAGAGGTAGGTAAAAGACAATTATAAAGTAAAGGTACTTGTCAGAGTTAAAATCCAAACTCAATATGATTTTGGGAAGTAGGTAATTTTAAAATCAACTAGATATAAGTTTAATTAAAAGTTGAATCAGGAACTTGAAGTGAACTTCCGGTAAGGAGTTTGAGCGTTTTTGTGTAGTTTTTGCCCAAATCCTTAACCTGTTTAATCCAATACGGAAGTTAATGCAGTTTGTTGTTATGAGACTAGAGTGAGAGTTTGGACAATGCGTAACCTTGACAGAACATGTCCATTTTAAATCGATCGACTTTCGTTTGGAAGTTTCAACTACTGTTTTGAGAGTTTCTTGCTTCAAATAATTCCTTCATTATAGCCGAGTGTCCATACTCTTTCGAGTTGGCTTTGGGACCTCAATCCAGGTGAATGTTTAGTTAACAGCCAGGGATGGAGACAATCACTGACAAGAAAAATATAGCTGACTATTAGCATGAATAACGATAACGCGTTGCCGAAGGCGAATACTTTAATTAGTCAATTAACATGAATGAATAAGTACTTTCGAGTTTAATAGTACGAAATGTCCCATTTTATAAATCAGTCGTGCAAAAATTCACATACCGTATCCCTGCATTAACTTGCAGTGGTAATCTAAAACCACAATCGATCAGGAAGTTATCTTTACGTCTGTCCATTGTCGAATGTTCGCGAGTTACGTGTAACTGCAAATAGCCGGGAATTTCCCTTTCATGACCTGCTCATTAAAGTTAGTTGGGCGTCAAAACAAAGTCGCATTCAGCTGCCCTTGTTTACGACACTTGTATCTTCCTTCTTTCAAGTCCTCATCTGTGTTGTGAAGTTGGGTGCAAAGAAGAAAGAATTGTTCGCTTCATTAAGTCCGAAGGTAAGGTAAATAGACCGTTTGCCATTCGAGAGTGAAACGGGCGGGCTCTTGATCGAATGATTGTTCATTGGGTATATTCAAGACTCCCACAACACTTAATTCCTTCAGTACATTGGCTAGTCGCTCTTCACGTCTGTTAGAATTCGTGTTGCTAAATTGCCCAAGTATAGCTAAGGAAGTCAAGGAAGTGAAGTTACTTCTCGTGAAGATTTTAAACTGAATTGGAGACAATGCTACTTGCCATGCTACTCGCTATAGTCAAGAAGCGTTAAACGCAATTTTGATGCATTGATAATGTATTCGGAAGAGCAAATCGAAAGTGATGATGTTGCGATTTTTCGTACGACAGAATTAATTCTTTAGAACCGTATCCGAGATTCTCGCTCCTTGGTGATGTCAGTGTTTGTACTTCAGAACGTTTTCCCTTTACATTTGTGTTGATCAAAATACAAAATCGATTCAAGCCAGTTCAGGAACAGATAAATTTAATGCGTCAATTAAATTTACACCAGATTCTTCTAGTTCGTAGGGAAATAGGCTAGTCTCTCATCACGTCTGCTAAAGTTCGAGTTGTTCAATTATCCAAGTGTAGCTAAGGGAGTCAAGATCCTTCTCGTGAAGAAATTGATTTCTCTAGTTCAAGCAGAATTGGAGCAAATACAACTAGTCAAGAAACGCGGGTAATAACATGTTTGATAGTTTGATAATGGTTTTGGTGGCGGAGCAAATCGAAAGTGATGACGTTGCGAAATAAATTCAATGCGTCTATTTATTACACTACACTAGATTCTTCTAGTTCATGGGGACATAGGCTAATCTCTGCTAAACTTCGGGTTGTTCAATTGTCCACTAGACCCTACTTCAAGTTGAATTGGAGCAAATCAGACTAGTCATTGTCAAGAAGCGATTATGACATATTTGATGCGTTTGATCATGGATTTGATAGAAATCGAAAGTGATGACGTTGCGAAATTTCGTACAACTGAATTATTGGAGATTCACTTGAACTTCACAAAGTTTTCCTTTCGATATGTCGATCAGAACACAAAGTTGAAGCGGGCCAGTGAGTTTAGTTACTTCCGTTGAATATTAGGAATAAATAATTCGATTAATTACTTCCTAGCTGTAAATTTTGCAGCGAGGAATCTTTACAGCACTAGTCCTGGTTAGCAGAAGCAGAAATTATTTCTGACCGAACCTTACCTCTCTCTTTTATGATCGAACGGATTGACTTAATGGTCCTTAATTACTGCCAATTGAGATCCTTCAATCTAGTCCCTGTTTTCCTGGTTTAAGTGCTTACGAGAACTTTCCATATCCTCGGGGCTTTTCCCTCTTTGTGTCAGCTGTGAAGTTCCGCTCTGAATCTGTTTTAAAATCAATTCATGGCACATATTTATTTCCTTGATGAGAAAAAAGCCAAAAATGATTCATTGTAAGGCAAACTTGGGGCCCAGCAAAATAGGATGGTTTTATCCATCAGTCGTTTATGACCTTTTATAATATAAACACGAGTGTTTCACTGGAAATACACCACTCGTAAAGTTCATACGAAACCATGTGGGTGGCGTATTTCCTCACTAGTGAAGATATTGATGACTTCACTGATATCTGATATCATCCTTAAACTGTACTTAAATTTTTTGGTGTATGATCCAAACATCTTCGGATCTTCCTTGAAAGTCTTCGGTTATCTCCAGAAATCTTCGGAAATGTACGGAACTATTCGTGTGGCTTTCGAACAATTTTTGCTTCGGAAATCTTCGGAAAGTGGTCGGAAATCTTCGGAGAATCGTCAAAAACGTCGTTATCAGTATGTTAAATAAACCAGTTTGTTACTGTTACCGACGATCAGTAGTTCTGTATGGGAACAACCCCTCTCTGCATTGATACTCTTTACATCCTCCTTCCCTTCGGCAGCATTTTGTACCATTTAGGTAAACTAGTCAGTATGTTTATATAAAAAAACACAAAATAATACATGGTTGCTTGTAGGTACGGAATTTCTCTTCTCGTGTTCAACTTTATATCTCACTCGTTGAACACTTCCATATCTACGCGCGCCCATGTATTATCCTCTACTTTTCACTTGTGAGATCATTCAGATCTAAACACTCGATATATTTCCCAGCATGTAACTGTATGTATGAGGTCGATAAAGCCATGGCAACAGCCCAACATTACTGGTCCCAGACCTTTCAGCCTTTCAGTCCTGACCGAGTTCAAACCACGTCTAAATTCACGTGAGTGATCTTAAGTCTCTACCACATGGTCGGTTGAAACAAATCAGTTATTAGAATTAAAAGTAGGTGAGATTCTGTGCAAAAACTAAATGCCGTACTCTATCTGTTATCTTGCAGAAGATTAAATCTCGATGGCCTACCATTTTTGCGTGGACTTATCAACCGTCGAGGATCGATCTTCGGTCGCCGAGGGTGAAACCTGTATAATACATGTACAATTTCATGGCACTGGTCGAAATGACTACAAAGTTTATCGAGAAAAGCTAGAAAACACTTTACTGACAGAGTACCTGAGACAAATCGAGGGGCCAGACTTCAACCAGAAGCTAATGAAGTTAACATTTGATATCACGCCAGCCGACAAAGCGAACAGCTTCTGCAAAAGCGTTCTTGAAAGAGGGATATTCTGTCGTCAATGTTCGTATTTCTTCCTTGGCCACTCGGATGAACAACTGAAGACAAAATCCTGCTACTTGATGAGAGCCACACAGGAAGAAATTCTCAAGCTTTTGGCGAAGTTTGGTGACTTTCGTGAAGAGAAGGAAGTAGACAAGCGGGCAAGAAATATTGGAATGCTTTTCTCGACATTAAACAAATTCGTGCCATTAGATACGCTCAAATACAAAGTCCAGCCAGACATTACAGGCGGTATTACCGGATCATACACTTTCACTGATGGATGTGGATTTATGTCTCCGGAATTCTCTTCCAAAGTACAGCTGACCCTCGAGCTTGATTATCAGCCCAGCGCCGTCCAAGTCCGCTATCGAGGCATCGAGGGCATGCTGGTACTCAAAGAAGATTTGGGCTATTTTGAAGTGCTGTTCCACGACTCAATGCAGAAATTTGTCACCCCAATTGAGAACATGCCTGAACGGTTCAGCTTTGCTGATGTTGTGGATTATTCCCGCCCTTACGTCAACGGATACCTCGACACTCGAATGGTCATGCTTCTGGCTGACAGAGGAGTGTCCGCTCAAACCCTCAAAAACTTGCAGGCAGGCTACCATGAATTGTTAGAAGGCATGGGCAAAGAGACTGCCGAGTATTTCCTGCGCTTCAAAGGGGAATTCCGTCTTCTGCAGGACATTCAAGACAAAGGCATTGACGGCACCATAAAGAAGCGCTTGAAATGTCTGAGAAAACAAGAACTCGATGACATGGAAAAAGCTGCCTACACGAGGATTTTGGTTCCCGAGTCCCGCGTGGTGTTTGCTGTTTGCGATCCTTACAACAAGCTGAAGTACGGAGAGTGCTACTTCAATCCCACAATNCGTTTTTGTGTAGTTTTTGCCCAAATCCTTAACCTGTTTAATCCAATACGGAAGTTAATGCAGTTTGTTGTTATGAGACTAGAGTGAGAGTTTGGACAATGCGTAACCTTGACAGAACATGTCCATTTTAAATCGATCGACTTTCGTTTGGAAGTTTCAACTACTGTTTTGAGAGTTTCTTGCTTCAAATAATTCCTTCATTATAGCCGAGTGTCCATACTCTTTCGAGTTGGCTTTGGGACCTCAATCCAGGTGAATGTTTAGTTAACAGCCAGGGATGGAGACAATCACTGACAAGAAAAATATAGCTGACTATTAGCATGAATAACGATAACGCGTTGCCGAAGGCGAATACTTTAATTAGTCAATTAACATGAATGAATAAGTACTTTCGAGTTTAATAGTACGAAATGTCCCATTTTATAAATCAGTCGTGCAAAAATTCACATACCGTATCCCTGCATTAACTTGCAGTGGTAATCTAAAACCACAATCGATCAGGAAGTTATCTTTACGTCTGTCCATTGTCGAATGTTCGCGAGTTACGTGTAACTGCAAATAGCCGGGAATTTCCCTTTCATGACCTGCTCATTAAAGTTAGTTGGGCGTCAAAACAAAGTCGCATTCAGCTGCCCTTGTTTACGACACTTGTATCTTCCTTCTTTCAAGTCCTCATCTGTGTTGTGAAGTTGGGTGCAAAGAAGAAAGAATTGTTCGCTTCATTAAGTCCGAAGGTAAGGTAAATAGACCGTTTGCCATTCGAGAGTGAAACGGGCGGGCTCTTGATCGAATGATTGTTCATTGGGTATATTCAAGACTCCCACAACACTTAATTCCTTCAGTACATTGGCTAGTCGCTCTTCACGTCTGTTAGAATTCGTGTTGCTAAATTGCCCAAGTATAGCTAAGGAAGTCAAGGAAGTGAAGTTACTTCTCGTGAAGATTTTAAACTGAATTGGAGACAATGCTACTTGCCATGCTACTCGCTATAGTCAAGAAGCGTTAAACGCAATTTTGATGCATTGATAATGTATTCGGAAGAGCAAATCGAAAGTGATGATGTTGCGATTTTTCGTACGACAGAATTAATTCTTTAGAACCGTATCCGAGATTCTCGCTCCTTGGTGATGTCAGTGTTTGTACTTCAGAACGTTTTCCCTTTACATTTGTGTTGATCAAAATACAAAATCGATTCAAGCCAGTTCAGGAACAGATAAATTTAATGCGTCAATTAAATTTACACCAGATTCTTCTAGTTCGTAGGGAAATAGGCTAGTCTCTCATCACGTCTGCTAAAGTTCGAGTTGTTCAATTATCCAAGTGTAGCTAAGGGAGTCAAGATCCTTCTCGTGAAGAAATTGATTTCTCTAGTTCAAGCAGAATTGGAGCAAATACAACTAGTCAAGAAACGCGGGTAATAACATGTTTGATAGTTTGATAATGGTTTTGGTGGCGGAGCAAATCGAAAGTGATGACGTTGCGAAATAAATTCAATGCGTCTATTTATTACACTACACTAGATTCTTCTAGTTCATGGGGACATAGGCTAATCTCTGCTAAACTTCGGGTTGTTCAATTGTCCACTAGACCCTACTTCAAGTTGAATTGGAGCAAATCAGACTAGTCATTGTCAAGAAGCGATTATGACATATTTGATGCGTTTGATCATGGATTTGATAGAAATCGAAAGTGATGACGTTGCGAAATTTCGTACAACTGAATTATTGGAGATTCACTTGAACTTCACAAAGTTTTCCTTTCGATATGTCGATCAGAACACAAAGTTGAAGCGGGCCAGTGAGTTTAGTTACTTCCGTTGAATATTAGGAATAAATAATTCGATTAATTACTTCCTAGCTGTAAATTTTGCAGCGAGGAATCTTTACAGCACTAGTCCTGGTTAGCAGAAGCAGAAATTATTTCTGACCGAACCTTACCTCTCTCTTTTATGATCGAACGGATTGACTTAATGGTCCTTAATTACTGCCAATTGAGATCCTTCAATCTAGTCCCTGTTTTCCTGGTTTAAGTGCTTACGAGAACTTTCCATATCCTCGGGGCTTTTCCCTCTTTGTGTCAGCTGTGAAGTTCCGCTCTGAATCTGTTTTAAAATCAATTCATGGCACATATTTATTTCCTTGATGAGAAAAAAGCCAAAAATGATTCATTGTAAGGCAAACTTGGGGCCCAGCAAAATAGGATGGTTTTATCCATCAGTCGTTTATGACCTTTTATAATATAAACACGAGTGTTTCACTGGAAATACACCACTCGTAAAGTTCATACGAAACCATGTGGGTGGCGTATTTCCTCACTAGTGAAGATATTGATGACTTCACTGATATCTGATATCATCCTTAAACTGTACTTAAATTTTTTGGTGTATGATCCAAACATCTTCGGATCTTCCTTGAAAGTCTTCGGTTATCTCCAGAAATCTTCGGAAATGTACGGAACTATTCGTGTGGCTTTCGAACAATTTTTGCTTCGGAAATCTTCGGAAAGTGGTCGGAAATCTTCGGAGAATCGTCAAAAACGTCGTTATCAGTATGTTAAATAAACCAGTTTGTTACTGTTACCGACGATCAGTAGTTCTGTATGGGAACAACCCCTCTCTGCATTGATACTCTTTACATCCTCCTTCCCTTCGGCAGCATTTTGTACCATTTAGGTAAACTAGTCAGTATGTTTACATAAAAAAACACAAAATAATACATGGTTGCTTGTAGGTACGGAATTTCTCTTCTCGTGTTCAACTTTATATCTCACTCGTTGAACACTTCCATATCTACGCGCGCCCATGTATTATCCTCTACTTTTCACTTGTGAGATCATTCAGATCTAAACACTCGATATATTTCCCAGCATGTAACTGTATGTATGAGGTCGATAAAGCCATGGCAACAGCCCAACATTACTGGTCCCAGACCTTTCAGCCTTTCAGTCCTGACCGAGTTCAAACCACGTCTAAATTCACGTGAGTGATCTTAAGTCTCTACCACATGGTCGGTTGAAACAAATCAGTTATTAGAATTAAAAGTAGGTGAGATTCTGTGCAAAAACTAAATGCCGTACTCTATCTGTTATCTTGCAGAAGATTAAATCTCGATGGCCTACCATTTTTGCGTGGACTTATCAACCGTCGAGGATCGATCTTCGGTCGCCGAGGGTGAAACCTGTATAATACATGTACAATTTCATGGCACTGGTCGAAATGACTACAAAGTTTATCGAGAAAAGCTAGAAAACACTTTACTGACAGAGTACCTGAGACAAATCGAGGGGCCAGACTTCAACCAGAAGCTAATGAAGTTAACATTTGATATCACGCCAGCCGACAAAGCGAACAGCTTCTGCAAAAGCGTTCTTGAAAGAGGGATATTCTGTCGTCAATGTTCGTATTTCTTCCTTGGCCACTCGGATGAACAACTGAAGACAAAATCCTGTTACTTGATGAGAGCCACACAGGAAGAAATTCTCAAGCTTTTGGCGAAGTTTGGTGACTTTCGTGAAGAGAAGGAAGTAGACAAGCGGGCAAGAAATATTGGAATGCTTTTCTCGACATTAAACAAATTCGTGCCATTAGATACGCTCAAATACAAAGTCCAGCCAGACATTACAGGCGGTATTACCGGATCATACACTTTCACTGATGGATGTGGATTTATGTCTCCGGAATTCTCTTCCAAAGTACAGCTGACCCTCGAGCTTGATTATCAGCCCAGCGCCGTCCAAGTCCGCTATCGAGGCATCGAGGGCATGCTGGTACTCAAAGAAGATTTGGGCTATTTTGAAGTGCTGTTCCACGACTCAATGCAGAAATTTGTCACCCCAATTGAGAACATGCCTGAACGGTTCAGCTTTGCTGATGTTGTGGATTATTCCCGCCCTTACGTCAACGGATACCTCGACACTCGAATGGTCATGCTTCTGGCTGACAGAGGAGTGTCCGCTCAAACCCTCAAAAACTTGCAGGCAGGCTACCATGAATTGTTAGAAGGCATGGGCAAAGAGACTGCCGAGTATTTCCTGCGCTTCAAAGGGGAATTCCGTCTTCTGCAGGACATTCAAGACAAAGGCATTGACGGCACCATAAAGAAGCGCTTGAAATGTCTGAGAAAACAAGAACTGGATGACATGGAAAAAGCTGCCTACACGAGGATTTTGGTTCCCGAGTCCCGCGTGGTGTTTGCTGTTTGCGATCCTTACAACAAGCTGAAGTACGGAGAGTGCTACTTCAATCCCACAATGCCAAAGGATGAAGCAAAGGTTTTTCCTGCAGGCCAGGAGTTTGTGGTGACACGAAACCCATGTTACCACCCTGGGGACGTTCGTGTGTTGAAAATGACGAAGGAAAAGCAAGGCTACGAGAAGCTCAGGGACTGTCTGGTGCTACCTGTCGAAGGCCCACGCCCTCACGCGTTTGAATGTTTCGGTGGGAACTTGGCTGGAAACAAGTTCTTTGTCAGCTGGGATAAAAATCTCATTCCAAGTGAAAAAAAGAACCCCTGCGATTATTCGCCGACAGTGGCGGCTCAATTACGCCAGGCGTCAGCCAAATCAGTGTCAAAGGCATTGGAAAAGTTCAGAAAGGGCCACATTAACAAGGAATTGAAATCACGAGAGGAAATGCTGGAGTACTTCGCCACATTCTCAGATGAAATTCCAAGGATGATTGAAGGAGAATACATGAAATGTGCCACTGCCTTGGGCCCATCATCAAAGCAATGCCGACAACTAAGCAAGTTGTTTTACCAAGCAGCAAGCTTGTGTGTGGATAGTGGTAAGTTGCGAAAAGAGCTCGAGAAAATGAAGCCGTCGATAGAATCAGCGTTGTTCTCGGGTTCACCAAATGGCCAAGACGTAGACGACGCAAATGAGTACTCAGACGTGGAAAGCCCAACCAGGCCCGACCAGGAAAGTTCAAGAAGATCGTCAACACGTTCAGCAAGATCGGCAGAACAGCGTCGCGCTAGAAATGAGATCTGGAAGGAAATCGATAAGATAGCTAAAGACTTTGTTGAGGGAATGCAACGTGAAAATCAAATGCGCGTCGTTTAGTCTTCCAATCAGGAAGGGTTGCCTTTCTTCTCAGGGTGTGGTTTTACAGTTGCTTAGTTGCTATGTCTCATTGTTTAGCTGCGCCTTTAATACATCCCAGTCACGTCACCGAGACCAACAAGCTCATAAGTTGTAGAGTTTGAGGTACTTTATTCAACACTAGTTCTTTTCTTTTTTGGTTCTCGTGCGGTTCTATTAAAGGTCGGCAAAAAAGCAGACATAACTGAGGAAAACTAGAAACTTTTAAGATCGAAAATTAGCTCAGAAAATAGCGTAGCCAGACAACAAGAGAATCGAGAATTTTTTATTATATTCATAGCTTAAGCATTCATGATTTGAGATCCTTAGCCAGAAAAAGCCGTCAAGCCCACTCTTCTCCGGAAAACTATTAAGGAGTCGCTTGGCTTTCTTAAAATAATTGTGTAACATTCAAATTCATATGCAAACAGGAATGGGTGTGTTACTGATCGTGCCAGTGATTTTTCGTAGACGATTCAACACACTTAGGGAACGTCGACATAATCAAAAGTGAAAAGTCAGTAGATATTAGCTGAAGAGGCCGGAGCTTAACTCTGGTTTCAGTAGTTTTGGGAGATCTTTTTTTACCTACATGGGATGTTAGGCTGGAAAAACTCTTCCAACAAACACATTCCGCTTTTATATGTTATACTTGGCTTATGTATATCGATAATTTATTAGCGGCTGTCTGAACTCAGGTATTATTAACACAACGTTGCCTGTGTTATCTTTGTAATATGAACGAGGAACAGAGCCGATTGTTTGCTGTTGACATTTGATCATTGCCCAAATTTGTGGGCGTTGCCTTTATACGTGTAACGTTAGATTCAGTCAAATGAAAAATAGATATCAGAGAAACGGAAAATTAGCTTTATAATTTTATCATATCGTCAGCCCTTTTTGTTTTTCTTTGCAAAGATTATAATATTGCAGACTTACGAAATATAGACATATGATGTAAGCCATTTAAATGCCTCTTAATAGCTATAGGCCATGTGGCTCTATCTATGGTTTTAGGGGTAGACCATTTGACCTTTCAAGGGGCGTAGGCGATACTTAAAAAAAATTATCCTGCAAGCTCACTTGTACCAAAAAAATTCAAGTTCAAGGATGCTTTTAGCAGGTTGTACTGTTTCTGTAGTAAACACTTGAATATGTCGCGATGACAAGGTATTCTTATCAGTGATGTGTTTGTTATTTAGCTTTCGTAGCACGAGTTTGCGCTCAATGTCACGCACCTGGGTCACGCTAGGCTGTGCTCGTCACACCACATGACTCTGGTGTCAATAGGAGTCGAGCAGGGAGCCCGGAAAACGGCTCATATTCATTTCGTCTTCCCCCTCCCGCCCCTCTTGAAACAAAGCTACAAAGATCACTGAATAGTACGTAAATCTTACAAGTCGACTATGAACAAGAAACATTTTCAGAATCGCTGGATCATTTCTGGAAAAATCGGAAATTTAAAAAAAGAAATTAAAGTTTTATTTTAATTGTTATCATAAAAATTGACACGAATTTCTCAAACTGGCCTTTAATCATACTTTAAAAACGAAAAAGATAGATATTAAAGGTATTACTCAGCTTTATGTAACTCTTGAAAGAATTTTGGGTACGTTTCCTGTGAAGCTCAAGCCATTCCTGCTTGTTTTGGTTTCATCATCCACCTTGTCTTCGCAACTTTGTTTTTCTTTTCATTTTCAGTACCTCGCGTGATCAATTATTGTGATGAATAGTTTATTTTGAATGCAATTTTGTGCATCATAGAAAACGACTTGATGTATTGAGCTAACTCTATAACCATCCAGTTGTATGTTTTCAACCATCTCGCTTTAACGACCATCACAAATGACCGCGTACCGGAAGAGCCTTGGGACCAAACTGGAGTTCTCAGAAAATGACCGGAAGTCACGAAAAACTTCTGAGAAGGTGACGTGAAACACGAGTCTTTTGTTTTGACAATTATTTCATAGGGAATTTGCCTGAAAGCTAATTCAAAGAAGAACTATTCATCGAAGATTTAAGGTAGGTAAAAATAATTAATGTTACATTTTGTGTCGGGATTTGTCAAGGGTACGCGTGACTCGTATTTTCTTAGAATTTCGCCCGAAGTCAGGAAATTTATAGCGCTGGTTGGTCCGTTCATTGTTATAGTTTTACTTTCTCTCGGTTGGTATAGCAGAAGCAAAACCTGGCAACAAAGTAAGAAAATTCCAGTTCGAGAAATAATGAACTCTCTGACCTTTGAAAGCAAAGCATCAAAGTTTAGAAAACCTACGCAAATCCCTCGAATCATCATCGTAATCACAAGATCCCTCACAAGACAAAAGAATAATCCGAAGCAGCAAAATCAATTCCATTGTCAGGGGAAGACGGGTACAAATAAGCTTACAAGTTAAATAATTAACCTCACAGAACGGCAAAATTATTTGCATTAACTGAAAATCATTTGCCGCAAAACACTGCTAAGGTAGGAAACGGAGCGGACGAAGAATAGCGGATGGTGGATGATTTTTATTACATTTAATGCCTACTATTTTAACGATCAAATTGGAATTTCCGCAGGCGGAATAATAAGTGTTCGTCAGTGACATTGGCGTTATACAGAACAGTTGGAATTATCAACAAACTAATCACAATTTTGACTGTTGACGCCAAATTAAAGGAATTTACCCGAAACCTCTTCTTTCCGAGCGAACGAGCTTCATCGTACAGCCGACTACAAACAGTCTGTGCCTAGATATATCTAGATTTAGCGATAGCCGTTTGCCAGCTAATGGTGACCTAATGGTTAGCGTGCTGCATGGGATTCCGGATCGAGCAGTCCGGGTTCGAGCCCTGGCCGGGATCTTTGTGCTGTGTTCTTGAGCAAGACACTTTACTCTCACACTGCCTCTTTCCACCCGGTGCATAAATGGGCACTAGCTGGGGGGTACCCCTGCGATAGACTAGCATCCCATTGAGGGGAAGTAGAACTACTCCTGGTCACTTCATGCTACAGAAACTGGGATAAACTCAAGCTGTATAGACCACCGGCCTGACGCAGGCTTTACCTTTACCTTCCCTCTTAAATTGAAATTCTGTTCAAAAATATATACATTGTGAACCATTTGTTTCCACCAATTCAGATCATATGATACATTTGGGAGGTTACAACTGGTCTGTTTGAACATACTCCATGAAATCAGTTGTGTAGCAATTTGCACAGTTGTAACCTCCCAAATGAATCCTTGCGTGGTCTGAATTGGGTGGCAACAAGGAAGCAAGCACGTTAGCCGAATCCGTCTATACTTTGTCTTTCGCCGAGGAAGCCACGGTTGTCTGGAAAGGTTATTGTATTGGACTCTGGATCGACCGGCCGGATCCCATGATCCCTAGGCGGGGTAATTATGTTCAGTTCTTGAGCAGTCAGTCACGGTAGTTGGGTTATTTTGGCCACGTACAAAATTAACTTAACCTGAAAATGATAGTTTAGTAAGATAGAAAAACAACAAAGAGATAAAAATAAACCGTAAAGAAACAAGGATGGTTAAGGATGGCGAAGATTGACACGGATTTGAAAAATTTAGGCCATTAAACTTTTTAAGATGCGCAAACCGTGGCGCGGCTCCTTTAAGGCTCACAATCCCTAGCCTGATAAGGGGCGAATAATTTATGAAAAAGAAATGCTCGGGCAACCGAGCGTTGAAGTGGTATCCCACTGGCAAAGGAAGTGGCAGGGGAAAGTAGACTTCTTCCTAAATGATTCGCGCCTAGGGATCTGTCTGGTCCAATTTGGCCCGAGTGCCTCTTAACGGCTTTATATTGTTCCCTCGCCAGAAAATGAACATGACGAATCCTTACGAAATACCAGACGAGTTCATAAGACCTCCTCCAGCTGGTCACCTGGAACGAGCCCTGTACGTGAAGCATGTGGACATTCACGGAAGGCTGGTGCGACCGCCAATGAAATATAACAAAGTGGAGGGTGGAAACCTGTTCCTGGAATACCTCATGTCTGCGCATGGTCAACAGCAGATCGACAGGATCATGACAGTGGCCTTTCGCCCTGAAAGAGGCGCTGACACCGACTGTTCGCAAGAGATCTTGAAGCGTGGAATCGCTTTCAGTGGCGCGATATACCGCTTCCTGGGCCATTCCAACTCGCAGCTTAAAGAAAGAACTTGCACTCTAATGAATGCCTCGGACGAAGAAATCTACGAGCTGCTGGCAATGTTTGGAAAGTTTTCGCAAATCAAGACAGCTGCTAAGCGCGCTAAGAGGATCGGACTGCTGTTCTCGTCGTTCAGCCAGAGCATTTCCCTGACCGAGGACGACTACACAGTTATCGACGACGTGGAGCGCGGCAATTACATCTTTACAGACGGATGCGGTTTCATGTCAGATTCTTTTGCGCAGGAGATACAGGATGCGGTAGGCAAGCTCGATGGCAAACCTTGTGTGGCGCAAGTCCGGTATCAGGGCTTCAAAGGCGTGCTCATCCTTAATCGACAGTTGGGGGACCGGGTCAAGGTACAATTCCGGAAGTCCATGAAAAAGTTTACCATCCCTGATGAACGAATGCGCCATACGTGTACCACCTTTGGCGTTGTGAAGTGTTCTCGACCGTACACCATGGGCTACCTTAACAAGCAGATCACCATGCTGCTAGCTGACAGTGGAGTCCAACACAGCTATCTCACAGGTCTACAGAATGATTTTCACTCTACGTTAAGAGAGCTCCGTGGCACTGTACAATCCGCCGAGCACTATCTGCGCATTAAGGGCGAGAGAAAGCTGGTCAATTGGTTGCATGACTATGGCCTGGAAAGCCATCGCCTACAAAAAGAACTCAAAGCTCTTCAAGCCAAGGAGGTTAAAAAGATGCAGAAAGACAACAACACTGTAGATGCAGGCGATGAAGCCAGTCTAACGCAGAACTCAAAATGTAAGCTTCGGGTCCTCGTCCCCAAATCAAGGGTAGTGTTTGGCGCGTGTGATCCATTCAATGAGCTGGAATACGGCCAGTGCGTTTTTCAACCCACTCTTTTTGACGAGGTGCAGTTCGCAGAGTTTCAGGCAGCTCATGAGGTGATGGTCGTTCGCAATCCATGCTACCATCCAGGTGACATCCGTGTGCTGAAACTCGTCAAGAACAAGCCAGAATACGCGTATCTCAGCGACTGCATCGTGTTCCCGACCAGAGGGAGCCGACCGCACGCTGACGAATCCTCGGGCGGCGATCTTGATGGCGACGAGTTCTTCGTCAGTTGGGATCAGGATCTGATACCATCATGGCGAAGCAGCCCTTTTGACTACTCTTCTAATAGTCCGCTTGTTGCGATCCCGAACGCGATAAAAAGCTTTTTGGGAAAGGTAACCAGTTCCCTACATCATAGCGTCACTGGCTGGTGTCACAGGCAGATGCCATCCTTGTTTGGGACGGCGGAGCAAGCCGAGAAGGCCAAGAAGTTACAGGAGCGGAGGCATATGCTCGAGTACTTCACCGCCTTTAATAACGATCTGGTGGCACGGGTGGACGGCATATTCATGAAGTACGCTGCACTGTATGGACCGTCTTGTCGCGAGTGCGTTTATTTGAACAGGTAAGCCGACTAATCTTGATTTAACACTCACTGTCATTGCATGATCGGGCATTGCTCAATTACACAGGCACAGAAATTTTGTGAACGTCCGAGAGAATTAAGTGGAAGTTATGGTTACGAGTTTTCGAGACAAAGAAGCTTTTGTTATCCTTCCATATGAATTTTCTATACGGTATCGCAAAATTACACTTGGATTCAATTGCAAATTGTTTGCAATTAAATTTCTGCACCCAACGGCAGTCTACGTAGGGAAACACCGACAGACCTACAGGTTTGGGTTGGTAATGTCAAGATTGCATCAAAAGCTTTAGTCTAAGACTGTTGCCATATCTCGCGTGGACGAGTAAACATTTCAGCAGATGTAGCAATCTGTGTAGCAATCTGTTAAGTGTGTATTTGACGTCGCACCTGCTACCCATGTTCTAAAGTATTATCTGTTCATTATTCTCTTTGTGGTTTCCTCAAAAAATCCATGAGATAATCCCAAGGGAGGCAAAAAAAAAAAAACTCTCTGAACTGCTCTCTTTCATAGTTTTGCAGTGTTAGGTCACATTGATCTAGTAACTTTCACAGTTGACGATATCTAAGAGTTTTTTGGAAGAATGTTTCAGTCGATTTGTTTTTTTACCTTTGTAAAATTTTCGGTGGCGACTGTCCACCTTGATCAGAGCAGAAGCCAGCGAAAATCTGAGAAGACAAAAATTGATCAGCTGAAAGAAAAGTTCGCAATATCTGGTTGTTTCCCAAGAGGAAGACGGCGTGGAAGGGTTTGTAAAATTCAGGATAACAGAAAACTTCTTTCTCGATTGGCTTTGACAGATTTTTTTCCGACGCCGTTGACATGGTGGCAGAGAAGGAGGATGTACTCGCCAAGCTTCGCGCTTTAGAACGTGATTACAATTACCGATTACAGCATAATCCATCGGCGCCACGTGTAGATCACCGGCATTTGGGTTGGCTCCAGGACTGGATGCAGCAGAAGCCGCCCTTCCATCCAGGAGACGATGTGTGGACGCGGATGGAGGAGAGAACGCGATCATTTGTGGAGGAAATGTCGGGAAGACACTAGTATGCAGTCGCAAGTGTTAAGCTGTAATCATTGAGAATGTTCGAGAATTCTTAGGGACGGACCATTATTTTTGGGGGGGCGGGGTTGGGGGTGGGGGTTGGGCAATTTTCCCCAGAAATTTGATTCGCGCACAGCAAAAACTGCCGAAACAATTCGTACAAGGGGAGCCATATGGAAAATACAAATTGAGCTAGTGCTTTCTATTATTAATCTTGCACAAGCTGTTGCCCACCAAAAAAATCATGCACAACTTAAAGGTGCGAAAAAAAAAATCATGCCCAAACTACCCTCTGCCCCTCAAAAAAATATGATCTGTCCCTTAGTGCCTACTTCAAGTCTTCCAACCATGACCCACGTATGTGACGAATTCACTACATAAGAATACACATCTTGTTACCCTGGCGTATCTAATCGAACAAAATCGAACCCAATCGAACACCAATCGTTCGATTGAATTCGGCAATCGAACATCTACTTTCCTTTGAGTTCGATTATCGAACCAATCAAACAAAATCGAACGCAATCGAACTCAATCCGATTCGATTTTGTTCGGAATCCATTTCTAATGATAAGTAAATCACGCAGGAGTAATCATAATCAACCTTAATTGAATGGGATTAATAGAAAAACGTCCAAGTATCAAACTGAATGTCAGTGTTCGGTTATGCATTGTACTTTTTTATCAGTGTTTATATTTAAACATAAAAATCAAACAAACAGGAGTTCGGTAATCCCGCGTTTGACTGAGTACGACTGTCGACCGTTCGGTAATCGAACCTTCGATTTTGTTCGATTGTCGACGTTCGACAATCGAACGTTCGATTTTGTTCGATTGACCAAATTTTAGTGTGAGTTCGATTATGTTCGATTATCGAACGTTCGATTAGATACGCCGGGTGTTACGTACGCGTGGTGTGAGCTCCAAAAGCGAGCCTGGAAGAAGTGTAAGAAAGTGGGATGAGACCGCGAACCGTGTTAGTATCACGCACGAAAATTGGCACTTCTCACCATCCGCTTAGTATCCACTTCCGGCAAAAATTTTCGCGCCACCCGCTTAGCACTCACTTCCCGCCAAACTTTTCGTGCCACCCGCTGAGCACTCCCTCCCGCCAAAATGTTCGCACCATCAGCTTAGCACTCACTTCCTGCCAAACTTTTCGCGCCTTCCGCTCACTTATCCTATTGGCCAGTTCCAGAGAAAAGTGAGGTCGTTTTGCAGTCTAAGTATAGTAACGCACTGAATGCAATTTAATTCAATTTATTCATAAAATCAAATTTTAAATACACAATTAATATAAATCATTTAACTGATGAAAGAGAAAACTGCTTCTCTATGTTTGTTAAAGTAAAATCTTTGTAGCAGTTAAAAGTAGGTGTCTTCACTGGGCAATTCTTATACCGTCATGGCAGCGGTTGATTGCCAACATTCCAAAGGTCGTTGAAGTTATTCTGATAAAACTACTCAAAGTCATATTATAATTTTAAAATATTTGCATATTTTGCAATCTTGATCTATGACTTATGCTCCTGGACTTACGTTGTAATTTCCACTTTTTACCATTCATTATCGTTTCCGCTTATACGCTAATTGTCAATTATTTGTCAATTGCTTTTGTCTCAGCTAATGCAAAATAAAATGAAATAAGATTAATGAAAGACATTCAATCGTCGACTAAAGAACCGTAATCAAAGATCCCCGGAGTGGAGATAATAATCCGACGATTTACCGAACATATCCGAACATTTCAAACGGTACAGTCAGATAGCAAAGGTTTCTCAATATTTCGTGGAGCTTCCAAGACATATTCCATAGATACAAACCACTTCAGGTTTTTTGAATTTTTGTTTGATCAATATTATGACAGACCGACAATTATTTCCTCAATACCTTCTTGTGGAGAGCACGTAGCTTTTCGCGTTGCTGTAGCGACCTTTTCAAAGCAAAAGCGACTTTATTTCCATTTTCAAGGGACAACAACAGAACGTCCCAGGTAACATTATAGCGCCGTCATTGCCAAAGTGACAACAAATAAATGAGATTTTTCGGATGCCTGACTCCATGTGTGAAAATTCCTTTATGTCACAATTATAGTTGGCCGTTGACCCATGATAACCCAATGCAAACCGTCTAAACAACACCGAGTCAAACAATCATTTGTAAAGTTATCATTTTCGTCTTCTGTGGTCGTTAGGATCGCGCATATAAAGTTTCCAAACGATAGTCGCTTGATTGCGGGCCGCGACCGAACGTTGTTGTCGCACAGCACGTTGTTGGAACACTTTTAAGGCAGTAGAAAGGCTTTTCTGTACCGCAAAGACACTGTGAGCTAAGTCTTCGGCAGCAATTGACGCCTCTTGTGACGTTCATTATCAAACTTCAGGACGAGACAGTTTGAAGTGCGAGGGCGGGAGTACCTAGATCAGTTTGAGGAACACGACACAAAAGGCAGGATCTCGAAAACGAAAACGAAAACAACCGGGTACAGTAAAGGTGTGACTGGATTCACCGAAAAGCTGACGAGTGCAGCTGTTCTCGTGCCCAGCAGGGTTGGAGTTTTGTTCCGCCAAAGGGATATAATAGGCCTTATTACCCTCTTTGGAAGTGTATAATTACACTCAGTTGAACAGATCCATGAACGGCTTACTCTCGAATTGTATGTCGTTGTTCGAGGTCAACTAGACGTGACCAAATATTCCCTGATAATACGTAATCTAACGGTTTCGGTTTGTTTTGAACTCTACTTATCGCTCAACGAGATTCCGGCTTCTAAAACGAGCTGTTGGCCGGATAAAATACAGGACAGTCTAAATTTGACGTGGAAGCGAACATGGATACTCTGGATGAGATGGAAGAACAGACGGGTATTAGCACGCCCCAATCCGCAGATGCCAATCTAGAACAAAGTGGTCGAAAACTGTCCTTGAAAGATATAAGGAGATATGAAAAGAAAACACTAGTGTGTCCGGGGGGATGCGGAGTGGAATTGGATCTCAGCGATATTCCGACACATGATTGCATCAGGGATTTAAGGCGAAGGCTCGAGAGTGTCGAGAGCAATCTTTGGGACAAGGAGCAGAAACAGACGGACGCCATGGAAGAGATGTACAAAGAGCAGCTAGCACTGCAAGACTCTAAAATCGCACAAATGTCTGTCGAAATCAAGGAGCTGTTGTCGGAAAGATCGCGCCGCGATGAGTTATTCAATAACAAGGAAACTTTCTACAAGGAACAGATCACAGCGCTGATGGAGCAGGTGGCAAAGCTGGAGAGAAAGCTACAACTTCGAAGGCTTTCCCGCGAGGAGGAGCCGTTCGGGGACTCGAACGGCGCCAAGGAATGGGCATACAGGTACGACAAACTTCTAGCCGAGAAGATCACTCTGGAAACACTCTTCCAGAAGAGAGAGCGCGAGTTTCAGCACGAAGTAGAGGCGCTCAAAGAGGAGGCTGCCATGCTCCGAGAAAGTCTACATCTTGAGCGAGAGATGCTATCGCTCGAGCATGACCACACAACGTTTAACAAGTTGGCGAGTTTGACAGATCAGCTGGAGACACTGGTTCAGCACAAGAACCAGCAGCGAGGAAGGCACAAGAGTCATAAATCGAAGGACTTGAACAGCGAAGCTGTCAACGGAAGAGTCAGTCGAAAACGCATTCCTAACTCTGTTGGCAGTTCAAATTCAGAGTTCGACGAGGAAGACATGGAAGGTATCAGTAATTAGAGCGAAAGGTATCAGCCCAGGCGGTATGATATTTTTGTGTCATTATCGCTAGTAGCATTTTTCAAATTGTAATATTTCTATTCATAGAAAGGTATTGGTAATTACAATTATAGTAAGTGTCAGCCTCAAGGGTCTGATATTTTTGGCTATTTAACTGTATATTTCGATACGAAGAAGGACCGCTCTTTTTTCTTAGCAAAGAACGGCATTGACAATGATTGAGTATGCATGACGTGAAGAAAATTGGTTTCAGTTTAGAAAAACGATTTTATATCGGTAATATTTGATCTGGTAATGCCCCAAATTTTCAACGAAGTTCAAGCCATAATATATTCACGGATCAGTATAGCTTTAGGTGAATTAAACACACCACAGACGGTCAGCACGTCAAAGAATCGTGTTAAATAAACATCAATGGTTGTAGTTAATCGCATAATCACTGAGGTCATGCTGAGGTCACACTCTGTGGCGACGTGTGAATGAAAATCTATCACGACTTTCAAATAGGTTTTGTGAAGGTTCTTTTTAAAAAAGCATCTCTGAAAAAACAAATATTGTCTTTGTAAAACTGTTACAAGCACGTCCTGGAAGATGATTAACTGTTCTCCAAAATCTTAATCAGTATAGAGAATGCTATTTTAAACTTGGAAAGAATATTAAAGGCGGCCCACTTCGCTTCACTGAACAACCAAGCAAGCTTGGGAAGGGTGTACATGTATAGTTAACAAGCCTAGAAAGAAGATGCTCTTTCACCGAAGGAGGCCCTTTTCAGCACATAAAACATGATTATAAATATCGATTTGATGACCATAGATGCAGTATTTCGGAGCTATCACAGAAACCTTTTCAAGTCAGTGAAGTGGATTTGGCGTATGGTATTTTAAAACCGGCAGGGTGTTAATTCGAGAAGCCAGTTGAAAACAAAAACATTAACACACGAGAAAAAAACATTTACATCACCATTTATAAATAAACAATATACCTTGGATGTAATTATAAAAGAGAGCCTACGCAAATAAAAGACACAAAACACGGCTTTTCATCGACCCGCTGTGCACACACTAGGTGCTGTTGCAATGTTATGGGGTTTACCTGAGGGAGGCTGTTTATTGAAAAAGCTGTCTGTTGACCCAGGAATTTGCTAAATGCACGCTTGATTAAGAAATACAGTGGAATCCCGATTTCTTGAACCTCTAAGGGAAACGAAACTTGGTTTGAAAAATCGGATAGTTGAGCAATCGGGGGTTAAATTACAGCGTTCGACTGAGAAGAGGGAAACAACAATCGGAAGCAGAAAAATCGAGGATTCGAGAAACAGGGATTCCGCTGTAGATAACTGCCTAGGAAGTCCGGGGGGGTACACTATGGGCCTGAAAACCCGCAACCCCTTCTCAGGACAAATTTACTATCTTTATAGTCTTTCAGAACTGATCCCGAAAGGACTAAGGCTGGATACAAAGCAAATGCATTCGTCGTGGTTTGTTCTCAGGCCCTGATTTTGTTTTGACGACCGATTCAAGAATACTACAAGAGATTAATTTTTTCCCCGTCCAAATATCATGGCAAAATCTAACTATTTCAGCTTACAACAGTTTCAGGATAATGCTATTTTGAGGTGGCAATTAGCGGGTTAAAGGAGCTCAGTCACGGTATTTTAAGTTATTTTGGCCATGTGCAAAATGACCTTTAAATTGAAGGAAATCTGCTAATAATAATTTACTAAGATGGAAAAACACCAAAGAGATAATAATAAACCATAAAGGAACAAGGATGGTTAAGGATGGCGAAGATTGACACGGATTACAAACGAAGAACTTGAAAAATTTAGGCTAAACTGATCTATACTTTTCAGGATGCGCACACCGTGACGTAGCTCCATTAAACTGTGACAACAGCATCTTTCCCTTCCCCTCAGGGTAAGGGCTAGACCCGAAGTTCAATTATGTGAAAAGTAGTCACAGCTCTTTAAACACAAATGAACCCGCAAATTGCTGAGTAAGTGTCTGGCTTCCGTGGTTAACGTACAGATGCCATAACTTCCTGAGCTGCGCACTGCATGCAAATATCGTTAATGCTGTGGTCCTTGTAATGATAAGATTGGGCACGCTTTGCAAATCAACCGTTTTTAAAGAAATTATCCAGCGAGACTCAGAGCGGAGATTGGCTTCAGAAGGAAGTGGAGGAATGTTGATCGGTTTTGTCTGCCCCCCTTCCCTCTCGCTAAAATTTAATTCAGTCCGTGTTCGTAAACGTAGAGGATGTAAAGGTCGTGACATCAGATTTAATAAAAGATACGAAGTCTAGACACACAGATTTGCTGAACACAGCGGGAAATAAGGGCAGAGAGCTTAGCTGTAGCGTGTGAGATACCGAGATAGCGCAGTTGTAAATACCTGGTTGATTTTTTTCGAACACCGTTAGTTACTCAAGACGTTTCTAGCTACTGCGACTCAACGGCGCTTGGAGACGCAACATGTGACTGCCTTTAATACGTGTTATTTGCAAACAACTATGGTTCTACTGTATTACAGATCCTTCTACAAACCTTCGCCACCGTTCAGTTGCTACTAAAATGGGTCAAGTTTTTTATAAAGGAAAATTCGAAGGATTAGCAAAATTAATCCACTGTTAAAATAGACTTGCGCCAGTCTTTGAAAAGGAAGCACGCAAGCACTTACTGTGTGGTCTAGATTGATACCTTATCGATACTAACAGTCTTTCCTCTTTGTGAAAAAAAAAAATAATAATAATCATATGATCTTTTTAATATCAATGAAAAAAATAACATAATTTACGATTTTTTTTTAATATCAACCAAATTTAAAAGAAATAGAGGCGAAATTGGAAGAGAAGCACAAACATGAAAAATTGTTGGAGGCGAAGGAGGGTGTGCTTTGAATTGGAGCTAAATATAACAGTTTCTCAGAACATGCCTCCTTCTGCCGTGAGCGGAGGGAAAATGAGGAACCAAACACATGCTTTCACGCGAAAAAAGTGCTGCAGATGTAGACTACATTGCATGCTGTGAAAAATTACTCCTAATTAGACGGCAAAAACTGACCGCGAATGGACGAAATAAAGATCCACCTTACACCAGCAAACAACCTATAAAAGCGGTAAAGTGAGGGTGTTTCGTGAAGCTGTGTCGACCCGGGAAGTCGTGCAACTTCGCTTTCTGTATCGCCTGTAACGGATACTTCGCTGAAGTCAAGGCTTTAATTTTTCATCTCAGAGAGAATGCTTAACATACGTGGACACTCGTCCAAGAGAACACGTCATTTACGGGGGCCCACATCGAGCCAGCATCGGACCAGCGGAGCCCGGGCATGAAACACACACCTCCAATGTTTAAAGTTCCTGTTAATGCTAAGCTATCAACGGGAATTCCATTCTTTTAAAAAGGAGCTTAGTCACGACATTCTGAGTTATTTTGGTCATGAACAAAATTATCTTCAAATTGAAGAAAACCTGAAAATAATAGTTAACTAAGATGGAAAAGTACTTAAAAGATACTTACAAACAATAAAGGAACAAGGATGGTTAAGGATGGAGAAGATTAACACGGATTACAAACGACGAACTTGAAAAATTTTGGCAAAACGTTTTAAGATGCGCGAACCGTGACGTAGCTCCCTTAATACTAACGTTATCGGAAATGAATCATTATTTTCTATTCCCAGTTAAGATGTCAAGTCTGAAAACGTTTCCAGCTCGCTCAGCTATTTCAGAAATAAAATGAAGCTTTCATTAGCTGGTTTGTTGTCTAGAGAAGGCAGTTCATAACTGAATTGTGAATGATATCACCTTCTAAACACCACATCAATAATAGGCATCTGCGTAAATACTTGGACAATTTGTSATTTATTAAGGGTGAGGGGCAAAAGTCGAACGGTGTAAATGATATTTTAGGTAGAACGACATAATTACAAAGAGTAACAACAAAAGTACATATTTCAGATGTTTCCTTTGCGTACCGATACAAATCTGATCAACCCACCGTACAGTGCAGTACTGTCCAAATAAACACACCCAAGATAAGAACACAAATTTTAACAAGATGCCGTATTGTACTTTGACAGTGAAAAATAGTTGCTAAAGGAAAAGCGATAAGTTTCAACAGATTAGAGCACGTGTTTAATTACGTTGTACACAGTGCACTGAGTATGATCAGCATTTGACATTTGAACATTTTCTAGATCCTCTAGATTTCTAATTTTGGAATAAACGCATCATTCCGGATAAGTGTAGGGTGCAAGGCCTTTAATTAAACACTTTTAATTTTCACTGATCTCTTTTTAAGTCACACCCAAGATAGGCATGATAGCATCGAACAGCTGGTCTGTCTATGTAAGACCAGCCCCGTGGCACGTGGCGGGATACGCCCAATGTAAGAAACGACGTCGTCGTATTATCGTTGATGAAACATCTGGCCGGCTAATGTGATCAGCGAGAATCACGTGGAAGGACACACTCAAGATAGACCTTTATTTACTGAGGACACAATGCCCGTCTGTGTTTGGGCCAAGAACATGTGGTGAACAAAACAAGTAACATCAGGTCGATTACTAAATAATTGAGCACAACCGACAGTATCTCACTTAACGGTTGACTAATATTTGTCATATTAATTTATAACTGTGGCCTTTTGGTTTAGATTTACGAGACACAACGTGATAAAGAAAATCATCAGTGAAAGTTAGGTTACAGAGTAATCAGCATTGATGGGTACAGAAAAGTTCAAGAGAAACAGATACCAGTAAACTCACTTGCTCAAGTCAGCTACGAGTTGCTTTTTACCTCCATCCTCGGCGACCCAGGGGCTGCTAGCCGAAACGGTGTGATATTTTCCCTTGGAGTAAACTTTCGCCCGAAAATATCACATCGTCCCGACTAGCAGCACTTGGGTCTCCGAGGATGAAACGAGTCCTGAAGCACAACCTTTTATATGAAAATAACTTTGATTTACAAGACAATGAACGAGCAAGAAAATCTCATTTCCGTGTGAAAGGTTGGCCAGTCTCGTTTTGAAACAGGAGTAAGGGCAACTCGGAAATGTTTTTTTCCTTTTTTTTTGGTTACAGAAACACTATACTACCAGTACAAAGAAATACGCTTTCTTTATGTTTTTGCAGCTTTCTGTAAAACTTGTGACACAATGTAATTCGTTCTTTCAATGTTGTGTATTGTGATTAAACAGAATGACTCCAAATTTGAAACACCGTTCAGGGGTTCAACCGCTAGCTTTGAACAAGGAGTTCGAAGTAAAACATTTTTGATACGAATCAGTCCCTATTTCTGTCTGGGTAAGGTATCCCAAACTGAGGACTTTGTCATAGATTGTAGCGGCCAGTAGAAGCGCAGTTTCACGAAGTAAGCCGTCGTAACACGAAGTCGAAGTTCGTGATGTAATCGATGCTTCCTGTTTCGCAGAAACAAAACAAAACAATTAAACAATAAAACTACGCTTTCCATCGTAGATGGTAGGGCAGTCAAACTGGGGCCGAAATTCAAAATCTGCATTCCCGTCACAACCACTGAAGCGCGCACTTTTTTATCTACCTACACCAACACTTTGATACCAGTTCTAGCTATCAACAAGTCTGCCTACCTTTCTAATTCTGTAGAGCTAACGTCTTCGTTACACCGACAACTCAGTTTAATTCACCACTTCACTTCCACTTTCTTCAGATTACAGCCTTCTAAACATTTAAGTCTTAGTTAATCTCGGTTGTTCTCCTCAATGACTGAACATATGAACCAGAGGATAATTTTCATGTTGCTGAAGTCTCCACGCAGCAGTAGAAAAACATTTCTCAGGCGGTTTGGTTGTTTCGCAGAAATATTGGTTCATTTTGACCAATCGGAACGCCAAAGATACTGTCTTCACAGCCAATCAGAAGCAAAATCAAAGCCAATCGCGGCTTGATTTTCCCGCGCTTGCCATCAGTGAGCAAACTGATTTTCCCGCGCTTTTCCATCGGTTCCATGTTTTCCCGCGTTCGTGAGTGATCAGTTAAAATACGTGTTTTTGCTTAGAAACACCGAGTGCTACCCTCGTGCCGACAAAATGATCAGCTTTACAACACTCCACACAAAATTCCTGTACATCTCATTCTGTCCTTGTCCTCTCTGTTCTCTTTCTGACTGTCCTCTGAGTCCATCCACAAGCTCCGAGATAAATTATGCTCGTCCGAACAGCTTAGTCACATTTTCTTGACAATGTCACTGATGTCTTTTGCCAACAGGCGCCTGTCTACAGGTCCGGCAAAGGAATCCCCTGCGGACAGCAGTACAAACAGTATTCAGTCATCGACTCTTTTATATCCGGCGGAATTAACATTTGGAGATTTAGAATTAAAGTCACCGTGAGTTCGCGATACAAATGCTTATATTTTGCTTTCAGATAGTGTTGTTTTGACTGCCTAACCTCGATGTAGGGTGGAAGTCTAACCTTGCGCTTTACTTAGTTTCCGTAGAGATCGACAAGCCCAAAACAAAAAAACCCAGTGGGAGAATGGGGACGCCTTTTCTCCTCCTCGCTCGACATACTGTTCTTAGTTTAGAACTGAACATACAGAAAGTGATATTACCATCCCATGACTGCTTGATGAGAACTTCGTTCAGTCGCTGTGAGTACGGATTCTTTTCCACTGCATGACATACCAGTCTTTTGAGTTCTTTTTCGTGACAGAAAGATTCTGCAAAAGAAAATCGTGTTCGTGTATAATACAGAGACTTACTTACAGAGTATTAATACCACTTTGAAATCAATCGCATCAAATTAATTTGGAGCAAGTAAAGAATATTTTTATTCTATTAACTAGCTATTAAGACTTCATCTAGTAACAAGGATAACTCACATTCCGATACACAACATGGATCTTTCTAGTTTTAATCCGCGCAATCAGGCCGGGATAACATGTTCTAGTACGATTGAATGAAATATGAAATGACCACGCAACAACAGTCATTCGTTTGTTCGTGTTGAAGGAGCTCATTCACGGTAGTATAAGTTATTTTGGCCACGTAGAAAATTACCTTTGAATTGAAGGAAACCTGAAAATAGTAGTTTACTAAGATAGAAAAACACCAAAGAGATAATAATAAACCATAAGGGAACAAGGATGGTTGAGGATGGAGAAGATTAACACGGATTACAAACGACGAACCAACCTGCCGCGGCGCCATCAGGAGCAGGAGCAGGAGGTAGCATACAGAACGCTATCACGTCTCTTAGTGACTTGATAGACTCGTCGTTTCTCGTTCGATTGCCGTCTGTAGCTGTTGCTGAAGCCGAGTTGTTTTTGTTCAGGAACGAACTGCAATAAGAGAAAGGGCTTCATTTAACGAAATTACAGTCCAACCCTTATTAAGCGGCCATCCCTATTAGACGGCTATGAATCAAAGTCCCGAAGAGGGCTTTTCCATTGTTTTTACCTCTATTAAGTAGCCAACACCTTTTAGGCGGCCACAATCCATTTCCCCGAGGGTGGCCGTTTAACAGAGGTTGAACTGTCTGTTTCAATTTTGTATAATCTCAAACTAAGTATACATATACAAGAAATTTCAAATGCTTTTGAAACATAAATAATTAGTGTATAGACAAACTTGAAAGGAAAGGTTTTCATTAGAAATCTGGCCTTAAATTACTTTGAAAGTTCCCAGAACTAAATGTAACATCTAGCAACTCAAAAGCTTTTCCCCATACATTATTACCATTTTTTATCACTCAGCACGCTTTTAATTTGTTAGTTTATAAGCAATGTCAGCTTCAAAAGTGCGCAAGTTGGGGACCCTTTAAACTTTAAACCTCAAATGACGGGAGGTTGACGAGTTAGCTATTGAGGCCCTGTTCGCACCACGCCGGAGGAATTTAAAAACGCAACAATCAACGGTCATTTTGTGTTTGTATTTGAGGAAAACTCGGGCAGGGAAATCAAGGGTCTCTCATCTTACCGCCCCCTAGAGGCGCTCCAGGGGGCGGTAAGATGAGAGACCCTGGGAACGAGGTTGGGAAATCACATGCTTATCGTGACTACATCGTTGTCGAAAAGCTCCGTTTTCAAAATGTTTTCCCGCGTCCACACGAAGACAAAGAGCGTTTTCGAAAAGCTCCGTTTTCGTGACGGATTAGTGTGGACTGTAGGCCTAACTGTAGAAATAAAGCTGCGTTTTCAAATTTCTCCGGCGTTGTGTTGACGCTGCCTGAAGCTAGCGTAGTGCGAGGTAAATGAGTTAAACTCGCACTACAAATACGTTTCCGTTGAGAATGAAGCACGGAGAACAAGCAAAGAACGCTGTGGAAGAAACGTTATTTCTCACCTCAGTTTAAATATGTTCTTTCTCTTTATCAGTATCGGGTTTTTAGCAACGGACACGGCCTTCAGCGTCACTGAACGGTCCGGTAACCTCATCTTGGTCAGCTGAGCTGAGTGTGCATTCATCGCCTCACGAAATGCTTCCTGTCAGAATGAAGAGTAATAAAATACCATGCCTGCCTCTCTGTAACACTCTGGTAAAAATTTCTAAAGGTTGATATAAAATGGATTGGAAGCAACAAGGAACAAACGACAACCACCTGGTATCAGAAGAGGAAAGGGACCGGTGGTCTAATTGTTAGCGCATAGGACTTGAGTTGGGGAGATCATAAGTAAGAAACCATCCTTTGCCATCCTTGTGCTGGACATATATCTTCCTATCTTTAGGGTTAAAACACCTTTTAATTGTTAAGATGTTTTTTTTAGAAAAAAAAACACAATAACAACAACAACAACAACGTTACAATGCCCTCCCTTCTTCTTAAAGTCAGGCCTAAACGACATAAGGTGTTCACTGATCACCACTTAACAACAGATTTCAAGTGCTCACGTGCTTCTTGGTAAAACTGACGAACTCACCCAAACATCCGCCAACCTTTTAAACGCCAGCCTCTTCTATATTGCGCAAAATTTCATCTCAAGGGGAACTGTTCATCTCAAAAAAAATAGGGGTAATTTTTGCATAAGTCAGTTTATAACGTGTATTTAGGGGGCTCATACTAACATTGCCTGTTTTAACGTTTGTAGTATATCATAGACCACGAGTAGTCCCTCTTCGCTTAGTCCGTCGGGTGCGATCNTGGACATATATCTTCCTATCTTTGGGGTTAAAACACCTTTTAATTGTTAAGATGTTTTTTTTAGTAAACAACAACAACAACAACAACGTTACAATGCCCTCCCTTCTTCTTAATTCCAGGCCTAAACGGTATAAGGTGTTCACCGATCACCACTTCACAACAGATTTCAAGTGCTCACGTGCTCTGATCTCCCACGCTCACCGAAGCGACTTCTTGGTAAAACTGACGAACTCACCCGAACATACACCAACCTTTTAGACGCCAGCCTCTTCTATATTACGCAAAATTTCATCTCAAGGGGGGACTGTTCATCTCATAGAAAATAGGGGCAATTTTTGCATAAGTCAGTTTATAATGTGTATTTAGGGGGCTCACGCTAACATTGCCTGTGTAAACGGTTGTAGTATATCATAGACCACGAGTAGTCCCTCTTCGCTTAGTCCGTCGGGTGCGATCGCAAATAAACCGCGCTGAAAAAAATGGCCGCGCGAAATCCTGAGGACGAGAAGCGCGCTCCTTACTCCCAGGATTTCGCGCGGCCATTTTTTGCCGCCGTTTTCTTTCGCGGCACGCACCTCGCGACGGACCAAGCGAAAGAGGGACTACTCGTAGTCTAACAATATCAAATTCACTATGACAAACCTCATCTGACACAATAATTGAAGGTGTGTCCAGTGGGACATCAGGAACAGCGCCCTCGTTGAGCCACTGGTGTTCAAGAAGCTCAGTGACTGTCATTCTTTGCGCTGGTTCCACTCGCAACAAGCTATAAAATAAGTAGCAAAAAGAGCCTATCTGTGAACTTTGAAGTACTTTGTTCATGGCAAAACCTTTCTGATGGGAGTAGGGTATTAACACTAACTGGCATCAAATAATAATCGTGGTGACCTGCACTTTTCTTTCACATAATGAATCCTTATGATGTCTTTCTGGCCAAAAACGTTTTCTATTTTACGCACAAATAATTTGCTAGTTTTAAGCTCCTTTATGGATTTTTCGATGTTTGAATTTTTCTTTAGTGGTCTGGCCTTCCCTGTGTCACTTTGTCTTTGTCTCTCGGTCCTTCTCTCTGTTATGGACCTTGAATCCGTCTCGGGCCATAAAAATGCAAAAAAAAGAACTTTGCCAATATGCAGCCATCTTGACCTCAAGCTTGGTCAATAACCCATATATATTCTCAGTAGCTACCTGGCTATCACATCTTTTGCTTCTGCGGAAATCTTTGACCATTCCTTGTCAGGGTAGTCATATTCACCGGCCATGATCCTTTTTCTCATTCCCTGTGATAGTTGTTTGCGAGGCACCTCAGAGTAGAATGGTGGATAGCCACATAGCATGATGTAGATGACCACGCCCAACGACCACATGTCGCAGCTCTAACAAGCACAAAACAGTAACAATAGCAAAATTAAACATAGGTAAGAAAGCATGGAGCGAGTACTAATAATCATCCTTGATCAGATGCTTTTCATATGGGAATAGATATATTTTTCCATTTGATTTATGTTGCAGAGATTACAGTAACAACACTGGAACCTTCAAGAACATTGGACATTTTTTGTGCATATTTCTTGGTGACTATAGAATGAAGATCCTTCATATGAAGTACAAGATCAGCGTTTTTACAGTGTAAAATGCGAAATAATCTTGCTAATATGAAGAGTCCTCACTCTATAGTCACAAAAAAACGTACAAAAAATGTCAAGAGTTCATGGTTTGAGCATCAACACAGTAAAGGTGACTAATCAAGAAACCAAGCTCCTGAAAAATTTACCAAATTAATTTTAGGTGATACAGTCCTACCTTGTCATATGTGTAGGGCTTTGTTAAGAAAGGAAATCTTCCAGACTTCTGTGCTCGGTGAATTCTTTGGGCCTCCAACACCTATTATGTAAGTGATAAATCAAATTATTGCTTTGGCTAAATTGAATTGTCACACACCATGGGTTAGCAAAATCATAAGATTTCATCCATAGACTAAAAGGCCTCAAAGTTAGATTGACATTTAACATACACTCTATAGAAGTAAACAGAAACTACCCGTGAGATTGAAAGTCTAATGTTTATATAAAGAACACCAGTATTGGAGTGTTATCAATATCAAACACTTAAACTGGAATCAAAATTAAAAATTTCACAGCTGCAATACCTGAGGGGACACATAATAAGGAGTAAACTGTGGTGTAACAAGATCTCCACGATCAATCTTGGCAAAACCAAAATCAGCAAGCTTGATGATCACTTTCTGGTTACAAGACAATAGAAAAGAAAATGTGTAACTAAAAATATTATAATGTGCTAAATCAACTGAAACAATAATTATCAACATCTAATTTCTGGCCTAAATTAACCATTTTTGACTATTATTTTTAATATTTTTATTGGCTGATCAGCACGTCTTTACTATCCACTGATCAGTTTTTTCACATAAAATAAAGCTTTTATTTGTATATTTATTATTGTTATTCAGTAAACTCATTGAATCTGAGTTGCAGAAATTGCAGTTAAAACAAAAAGTTTCGTTTTAGATATTGTAATAGAGCAGTTTTCAATTGAGTATCAAAACCAAAACCAAACTAATAACTTATCAATTAGGGTACTAGGCCAATCTCAAATCGTAGGAGAGCCAAAACCAAAACCAAAGCTATGTAACTGCCTGATTACTATCACCACTCAATTAAAAAAAAAAAACCCTCTAAAACTGAGTAACTAATCATGTTACTCTGAGGGTGGGAACCCAACATTCGTTTTCAGTCATTGTAGCATTACCTCACTTTTGTCCAGAAGAAGTAAGTTTTCGGGTTTAAGATCTCGGTGAGCCACATTAAATAAATGACAATGGTAAACTGCTAGGGCAATCTGAAAGATAGCAACCAAAAATTTATTTCAATACATAACATTGTAACTTAAATCCAATTGGTATTCAAAAGCACCAGAATCTCACCTGTAGGGTTTGACTCAAACTCAAGTTTACCCCTACTAGGTACCAATTACTAAAATAACAAATGAATTTATTAACATTTACAGTGAGACAGACAGACTGACAGACCGGCAGACAAGACAGACAGACAGACTTTTCATCTCAACACGGAATTTCTTCAGTTACATTGAATTGCTTTCCAAAAAAGCCATGGTAAAAACAAAATTACCTCTAGAAACAAGATTTCTGGATGCTTATGACTACACAGATTTCACTTATTAATGAAAAATGTCAAATAACAATCAGTTGTAGCACAAAGATCCTGTCTTTTTTTAGCTCACTAGCTTAAAAAGTACCATGTAGCCCCCTAAGAGGTACCAGACTGGTTGACAAATTTTAGACCCTACAGGGTAGCACAAGCACCCCCATAATTTTCCTGGTGAGTTGTCCCTTGGCATTACAATATGGTCAAACTTGAAATTCCGAAGTTCATATCGTTAAAAATAAATCACTTTCTTTAAGTGTCAAAGTGTTTAGCACTACTGTACTAACTGGGAACACTGAAACAGGAAAACAAATATTGTAAAATGAACAGAAACTTGTTAAAAGTCCTTGGAACTGGTGGGAGGCTAACCAGTTGGCTATTTACAAAGCATGGAGGAGTTGAAACTAGGATCACCAAACACAATTACATCTACTGGCAGGGACGAGGATTTGAACTCGGGACCTCCGGATCACAAATCCAGGGCCCTTTACCACTAGATCACGCTGCCTCTTTAGTTTTGTTTATCTCTGCAAGCTCTCAAACTTGTGCTACTTTATAGTTTGAAACTAGCACTAATTTTAATCAACATGACAGCATGATCGCCCCCCAAATTTAGTACGATTTAGTATATGTCAATTTTAAATTATGAAAAATTTTAGCCTCACTTGTTTAGTAAAATTAACAGCCTCTTTCTCAGTGAATCTTCTTTTTGTTCTGACCAGCTCAAACAGTTCACCTCCTTCCATCAACTCCATGACCATCAAAACTCTAGGCCTGAAAAATAATAACAATAAAATAATGGAAAAGTTTATCATCGTTGATAACTTGCAAAATAAATGGGACAAACTCAAAGCTTATGCTAATCCTGGCTTAGCTAAATCCTGTTTCAAACAACTAGAAAACATAAAGCCCCTGCCATGTCTGCCACTGGAGAGCTGATGATTAGCATTGGACTGAGTCTAACTTGGGCTACACTGTAAATTCCAATTACTAGCCAATTTTCATTAATAATTAAATTTCATCCCAATGTGTCTGCTGCCTTCTGAGATGCCTAATTCCAGTCCAGATTCCAGACAAATACTGCAAACTTCGCAAGGGGTTTTGGATGGCCTTATAAATGGAAGGGCTTATATCCAGGGCTGCTCTTAAGTGGAATAACAACATTTAGAAATGAGCTACAGCAGTGTTGATCAAAATATGGTTTTCATATACTGGTTTTAGTTTAAGCTTCAAAACATCACATATTCATTTCATTTTAATCTAGAGGGGACTTATATCTGGGGGGAGGTTATAATTGGAAGTAGTATTCTGTTCACAGGTAGATAGGCCTATAACCAGGCTTACAAGTGGGAGGGCTTATAAGCAGCAGTTTAAGGTATTTTTATCTTTTATTACCCCTATACATGTACCCCTATTATTGAAGCTGTCATTTTACTACCTGCAAAATTCTTATTTTAACACAAGAAACTGTCTTCAGTTAGAGACTCATATATTGCCATAACTTCATGCATAACAGATGTGTTCAGATGTTCACATGATTCTAAGAACAATCCTTGACTTACACTGGTCTCATTTCTCCAGGGAACTTAAAGCTGATGGCATAAACATCTACAACTGACACTATATGTGAATGACCACTGCACAAGAAGTGTACCTTAGCCTGCAAAATATAGTTTACATGTGGTTTTGTTATAAGGTGACTTGTGCTGTATCTCAAAGATCTGTTTCTGATCGGTTAAAGCAGACAAACTGCCCTGTCTGAAGAAGTAATACAAGGCTAAGCAGTGTTCCTGATAAGAGAGGGTTAGACCTCAGGTTAGGCTTGATTTCCGCCCCAATCTCTCAGATCTGATCCGCGAAGGAGTGTCACCTCCTTTCCCTAACAGCAGCTGGCAAATGATCTCAATCTCAGATGAAAATCCCGCAAAGGTTGACTACCTGAACTGACAAATTAAGGTAGAACTTCTAATGATTTGGTGAAGTCCATAATAATTATTATCTATTGACCTGCAATTTCAGTTCCTCACTGGCAACTTGCCTTCTAAACTTATCTGGAACCATGCCAAGTGATTCTAAATCAAGATACTCAAGCACTTTCTTCTAAGTTGGGTTTTGTGTATAAACTACATAATGTACATAGACATGTGCAACAATCTTCATGTGACATCGCATTTAACATAGCAAGATTGTAGCAAAAGTCTACTGGTATTAGTGAAAGTGTAAAACCATCTTGATTTTTAGTGAAATGCTACCAAGGAAAACATAGTGGGATAGAAATTACTTGTAAAATCTCTGATACCTACTTTAGAATTCATTTGAATCAGTGAATGGCACAACAAATTATATACAATAACAGCACTTGAAGTAAGTTTGTTACAAGTATATGCTGCATATTATTAAATGTTTTCAGTTGAGGAAAACCTTTTCTCTACTTCTAAAGTAACCCTTGGCCAACAAATTATTATAACATTTAACCATTGCCTGAAATTGTAGGATAACTGTTACCTCTGTCCTAGCTTTTGATGAATCCAGGAGACATTTTAAGGCAAATTGTTTTCCTGTTTTGACACAAGTGCACAACCTAAAGAAAGAGTAAGTGATATGATGAAGGGTCATGTGCAGCATAGAAAGTGACAATGCACTCTATTTGACTGTTATATAATATGTCAAATTATTTTCGCAGTTTGATTGATCAATAAGAAGACAGATGCATAGATGACATCATTAAATTTTTTTTCTTGTTTCTTTACTATATAAAACAAATAGATCCTATGTTGCCAGTATGTTCAGTATTTGATCACAGAAGACATCAAATGTGGTAAGAACATCGGTGACACTCAGCGATCACCTTCTATGCCACCCTTTCTGTTCTTACCACATTTTGAGGTCACCTGTGATAAATTACTGGACAGATACATGGTAACATGGAATCTATTTGTTAAATTTATGCATCTACAGTTCCTTGAAAATTATATAGAGACTACGAAAAGTTAACGCATCTGCTACATTTAAGCTCTGGGATGTTAAGCTCAGGGGAATAATAAGATGTCAAGGAATACCATACAAAGGAGCATGGAGACAGAAATTAGAGAAGCTTACTTTACATGGGGTCAACAGAACTGTTGAGAAATTGAGGAAAACCTAAAGACTCCATGGTCTGGAGAAAGGAAAGAAGATCTTGACAGCACATTTGAGCCACTTTAAATCTTAACACAAAAAAAAAGAGATGCAAAACATTGTGCAACTGCAAGTTAGTTTCACTGGTGATACAAAAGCTTACAAGTACATTCCAGTAGTTACAGTAGTACGACTTAAGTATGGCAAACCTTTCCACAACAGCCACCTTGGGGAAGGAGGAAAGTGGCTGTTGTAGAGAGGTGACTGTTAGTGGAGGTTCCACTGTAGCTGCTTTAAATTTAACCATCACTATTTCCATAATATTAACTTTTTACTGTGTCCATTACTTGCCACATAAGGTTTTTCTACCCTTTCTTAAGTCCTGTAAGCACTAAATATTTAAGACATGCCTGACTGGTCCACTGATTCCTGATCCAAGCCTCTTATTCCAGTCTATGGTATAGTCCTTTTCTATTGGAGTGGACTGAGAAAAGAGACTGACATTATGAATGAATTGCCATATCTTTTTCATATGCAAGTTTTTTATTAACAAAAGTCCTTCCTTCACCGTCAGCTTATAGGAGCTATGTTACAAAAAATGCGTCGTAAAAAAAAAAATTACCAGTGAGAGGTTTTCAGGTTTAAATATTTAACCAGAAAATTCAGTCTTCCTCAATGTTAGACATCCTATTTAATTGATTTGTTGTTATGTTGCTTTAAGTGATTTCTGAATATCTGCTACAATTCATATAATATTTGCAACAGAGCACTTTAACAAACAGATACCAAGTCAATGTTTTAATTCCAGGCCTAGCAGTACTTAACTCAGTGGATCCCTATTTATCATGCCTGCAATCACAAGTGCTAAAGTTACTGTGATAAAAACTGTACAATTTTTCTCCTAAAAATATCAAATTATATAAAGTCAGCACTGCAGGTTAAGAGCAGTGCAGTTACGTGAGAACAACCAGAGTGCCACTCTGCAAAAATCCTCAGCCTAATATCAAAGCGATAATTTTAAGATCAAGTCTGCATTGACAAAACACAAGTGGTCCATAAGGTCAGAGCTTATCCCACTTTCTGTAGCATAAAGTGTTAAATTTCAACCACCCAAAAGATCTTTTCCACCTCTCAAGAAACCAAATTGTATAAGAATTTGTACAAAATTGTACATCTTTTAGTAATTTACCTCCAAACAACTATTCATTTTTGCTCTCAATATTGCACCATTTCAAGCCATGTGATGTAACTCACGTATATGTGAAAACACGACTTTTTGCTCAAAAAAGAGGATCATTTCTCTTCAGAACATCTCTTAATACGAAATGGGGCAAAAAGACTCAACATGCTTATTTGATAAGAATACCGTCTGTTGTTTTATCCTTTATATTGCCAGTTGTACTTACAATAATAAGCTAGTAATAAGCTTATTATAAGCACTCTAGCAGTATAAGCTTATAAATTACTGTATACTAATAACAGAAGTGGTTGGTAGTCATGTTGTCTTTAGGAATTCCAACCCGACTTGTACCCAAAAATATTGGCTTGAGAAAATAGGTGGCTGCCTTGGTGCGAGAGGTTGCTGATGAGTTTATCGTACAACACGTTGACCGCGCGGGTATCGAATTCCGAGAGACACTGCGGTAAAAATTCGAGCTAATACATATGCATGAAGAGTGAAAAAATGGTCAAGAAAGACTAACGAAAGAGACTAAACCGATAATTTTCATAATGAATTCTAGCTACAATCCTTTACGCCAAAAAATAAAAACACATTTCGTCTAGATACCTTGAACTGTACTTCTCTCCTGTCTGCCGCCATCTTCCCAAGAAATTGTGAGATAATTTCTAGTGTGCGTACATAACATGAAAATTCACCATGAAGTCTACCGCTTGAATCAAGATAGTGGCTTCAGAAAATTCTCTGAGTTTTGATTGGTTCGTGCGCGGGAATAAAAGAAATACTCGAAGCGAGGTAAAAAGCGCGATTTTTCGAAATCAAAACACGCGAACGAAATCGTTGGATTTTAAAATTATCACTGTCCCATGGCTGAGATTCTGGAAGAATTTGATCAGCCGTCACCTTGCACTGTTGGATTTTGTCAACAGATTCCACTTGAAGAATATGACCAGCGATCAGCACAGACTACACAAGCTGCGCTCCATGGATTGCTTGATCACCTCGACTCCAATCCTGAAGAATTTTATAAGATCTTACGGCGAAAGAAAGCAGATAACCTGAAGTTGCTGCAGTTCGTGAAGGTTAAAGTGATGAACCATCTTCAAGACGACTATCTGGAAAAGTACTTTCCTGAAGAGCAATGTCAGAGAGAGCTGGAAAGTCTGAAGAGGGAAATGGCTTCAGCTTATGATTATGCACAAGGTTTGTCAACTGATGATCGTGGAAAATCGATAAGAATCGATTCCACTGTAATGTCAAAAAACACGAACAATGCCAATCAACCAAGTAATATTTGTTTACCATGGTTTAATAAATGCAATGATTGATTGATTGATTGATTGATTGATTGACTATGTATTCTGTATTTTTATCTCGTAGAACTTTCTTTTTAGCTGTTTCGCTTTTGTAAAGCGCTTAGAACAGATCTGGATAGGCGCCATAGAAATATCTATTATTATTATTATTATTATTATTATTGATTAATCGATTGCTTACTTGCTGGTTTGATTGATTGCTTGACTGACTGATTAACTCTGTGACTGGTTGATCAATTTAAAGGAAGTTTTTGCACATGATTGTTGATCATATAAATTGATTTATCACTTTGTGGAATCTGTTGTGGTCTTATTTAAAAGCTAGGCCCTTATCAATAATCTTCCCGCAGATCACTATGTATTGAATTATAGTAGAAGCATGATTATATTGAATGATAGTTACATGCAGGCTTAAATGTAGGGTAATTAGTGCAAAAGTAACTATGTCCCATGCTCATCAAAACAGAGTGGTTATTGTCTAAAAAAAAACAATGTTGTGTTATGTCTGTTGACCAGAGAAACCCTTTGTTAATAATCAACTTCCAGTGAATAATTGCTAAGTTCACGAATTCAAAACAAGATCAATTGAACAGGGACCCAAAAACACTTAAATGAAATAGGCTGGTTCAGAGGCTCTCAAATTTTGCTTGCCCCAGATAAGTCTTAATTTACTTTTATTTTTAGTTGGCAGAGAACTTGCCTGGGCCAGTTGCTGATCGGACAAGTGAGAATGAAAAGTTACTTGATTACTTGCCCGGCAGAAAAATTTACTTGTTATGATTAACTTTTACTGGTTGTATAATTAGGTCATTTAGCAAACACTTGTCTTTTTCCTTTTAAAGATGGTAAGAAAACAGGTGTGAGGTTCTCTAAAAGGTTGGCTGAGAAGAGAAAACTTCAAGAACCTTTAGCTTCCAGTACACCAAGGATGCAACCAACTGCACCACCACTACCACCCCCACCACCTCCTCCCCCTCCTCCCCCTGTCAGTAATATGGTAAGCCAAGATTAATTTTTCATGCTTAATAGGCATTATAGGTCAAGAGTTCAACTCCTGTGGGATAATTCAGGTTATTTCCTAAGGGCTTTTGCTACTGATTGATTAACATCTTTGAAGAATAATTTCTTGGAAATGTAATAAATGACTTTGCAAAGGATAGTTGGAGACAGGCATTTTCTCAATACAAAACTGGAGGTGTTTATTCGAGGATGCTGCTGCAAGATGTTTCTACTTTCACCCACGCTCGCACTAAAAACATCTTGTAGCACAACAAGCACCATGCCACCCTCCTACTCACTGATTTGAAGTTCCACTCCCTTCCCAACAGCATGGGTTTTCTGCTTCTGCTAGGGAGTTCAGTTGACAGGGCATAATTTAGAGCAACAAGGCTTGCACAGGCAGAGACACATCTTCTTAGTCTCACATACTGCTCCAACTTGCCTTTTTGCAACTTATTACATGAGCACCTGCTATGTAGGCTATCTTAGTCACATTTACAAAAAGTAAATTAAATCATTTCTACCAACACATTTTAGTACTTTTGATGAGCTGAATATTTTCTTTTATCCTATTAATTTTTATCTTTAGTTAGTGCTGATTCTGGGTACACTTTCATAAAAAAAATCTTTGACCATTTACCACTTTTGATGCATCAAATATCTTTCATTTCAGTCTGCAGCTTTCATTTCACCAGTGACACTGAAAAGGTAATCTTATGGTAAATACCAAGTAGCTTATTGATGCCAAGCCAGACCCTTTTGTGAACAGTAAACATTATATTGTAAGGCACTCTAGAGTACAAGGTAAAGCTGAAGTCTGCATATAAGCCAAGTGGCCCATTAGGCTGGAGCTTATCCCAGTTTCTATAGGAGTATTTTGAGAGGAGGAAGCGTGTTTCAATTTTTGGTCTCATAAGAAACAACTGAAGATATAAAGTCAAGCAAATATTACACTCAAAAAGGTTGAACATTCAAAGTGTTCAAGTTTACAATAATGAAATGCCTTTCACCTGGCAAGATGATTTTGATTTCCTGTTTCAAAGTTCAGTTCCCTTAACAACTGCTTAAGTTGTGTGTATAACTGCAATGATCAATCATGTCTTCATATCTTTCTCCGCAGTTCATATATGATATTTCATATATTGCGGCACTTGTATTGAACAACATATTTAAGGCAAAATTGCTCAGTATACACTGTAACTGGAAAGCTGGTCGAAGCTGCATAACAGCAAGTTATATCTTTTTCTACATATAGAAGGCAGGCTGCCAATAAGTCTTGACAAAAAGAAATTAGTACAAAAAGTAAATCATTTATAATAAATTATATCTTAAATTTAGTTTATTTACCCGTTAATTGGGCACATTCAGTGCATTGATGTTTTTGTTACTCTGTGCTCATTTATCTCACCTAGATCAACATATTCAGATATCCCTGGGACACCCTCAGGAATTTTTCATCCAGAAGTAAAACTGGTCCAGTCAATCAGGAATATTGCCCCAAGGAGGAAGTTGCGGGAGATAAATTCTGGTGCAACTGTGACATCAAAATACAATACAGATCAA